ATTCTCCTTACTTCCCCATCCTTATTTGCCTTCATTCTCCTTACTTCCCCATCCTTATTTCCCTTCATTCTCCTTACTTCCCCATCCTTATTTCCCTTCATTCTCCTTACTTCCCCATACTTATTTTCCTTCATTCTCCTTATTTTCCACATCCTTATTTCCCTTCATTCTCCTTACTTTCCACATCCTTATTTCCCTTCATGCGCCTTACTTCCCCATCCTTATTTCCCTTCATTCGCCTTACTTTCCACATCCTTATTTCCTTTCATTCTCCTTACTTTTTGCCCTCTCACTTCCACTGTATCTCTCATGTTCCTCTTCAACCACTCTGTTCTTCTCCTCTACACACAGAAGAAAGTGTAGCTAAACCCTCAAACAAACCTGCATTAAAAGAAAAGATTCTTGACCAAATGGAGCATCTTAAAGGTAATTCATACTTGAAGCAAATGTTTTTGATAAACCACAGTTCTTAGTGTCATTTTGGCAAAAATAAGTTTTTTTTAAGCAAGTTAAAATTCCATTAAATGCCCATGTTGTCTGCTGCCAGGGAATTTTGTGACCACGAACTTCAGCCCGGCTGGTAGTTACATCACATCGTATCACAAGAAGGAACCTGGATCTGCAGGACAGCGGCTTCACCTGGATCCTTTGGGTGGCACATGTGCAAGTAAGAGATCGTCCTGTCTCTGTGTCACATCCTGACTCTCTGTAGTTGTTCCCTTACTCTCTGCGGACAGCTCTCCTCTCAACTCCACGTGCCTTTCCTTTATCCTGCCTCCTTGAAAGGCACTCCTCCTCTCTGTAACTGCCTCTCTTTTCTTCCACTCTCAGTTGACCTTTCTTGTACTGCTGCTCTTAGAAACAACAAACTGAAACCATCAAAGTTAAAATCACCTTCCAATAAAGCTGTGTCTGAAGGTAACATGCAGTGCTCGCCAGTGCGATCACATCTCTGGGCATGAAATATGCATCCCTCAGCCATGCTAATCACGCCTCTGTTGTGTGACAGAATATGAAGGCTGGAAAATGAAAGCATCCAAATCGCAGATGCCAGGGACCAGCTTTGCTACACCAGGGAAGGGCCTGCTGTCCAGAGCTGCTCCAGTGCAGCCAGTCCATGGAAGAATAGACTGGGCTGCCAAATATGGAGGCCATCGGTAGCACCATGATCCACCAGAACATCCCACGTATTTGGCAACAACACGCAGGCCTCTCCATGTGGGAAAACCTGTGTGAGGTGAGGGAGACTTTGCCTTGAACTGGGCGTCCGTCATCTGGGTGTCGCCGTTATCCCCGTGCAGAAAATGTCTAAGGATGATTACATGCAAAGGTATATTACTTACCAGGCATGATAATGTGGCTTTTAGATATTAAAAGTTTGACCCAATAGGTTTCCCTGTCAGATATAATTTGTCTTGTTCAGTTAGCGATCTGCTTTGCGGAAAAAAGATAATATAAAGGAGGTTACAACTTACTAAATCATTTTTGTACTGGAGAAAAAACACTTGAGTTGCTCTTTTAGAATCCAACCATGATAAGACTGATGTCTTTGCATAGTACTGTGTTGAATACTTGTACTATAGCATGAAATTTTAAAATTATTTCAAGATTTGTATGAAAAACATTTGTTTGGATATATATGCAAAACACAAGAGAGTGAAATCTAACCACAGAAACTTGCCCGAAGTGAGATTTGGGTTATTTGCTGGTCCCAGTACAGTATTTTCTGTAAAATGGTTTATTTTAGAACCCCTGCATAGAATATAGATTTAATTTTCCAGTAAAGTGCTTTAAAAGCATAAGACATATACATAAGGTAACATATTTATTGTCTTGTTTTAAATGCATTGTATTTTTACTTATGTATTACAGTCTCTTAAATATAACATGACCTTTCCAGATTTGTTTTTAAGAACCAAAATGCCATACACGTGTCTACTTGGTTTTACATAGTAACTTTTTAATGAGGAGCATTCCTCTTGTGCATTCATACTTTTATAATTTTTCTTGTACAATAAAATTTGCAATAGTTTACAAATTTCAGCCTGGTGGGGATGGTTTAATACTTCCTGTGAAAGAGTACAGAGAACATAGTAAATCTAGTCCTTTGATATGTAGCTTAATAGTAGTAATTATGATTTATAATTACGTGCATGGTACCACTGACAACAAAAAACACAAAATGCTTTATAGAAACGATCAGAATATATTTTCCATAGAATACATACAGGTATACAAAAATAATTGTGAGAGTATCTAGGTCTACTTGATTGGTCATTTACGCCATGTAAAGTATCTCCATTAGTATGCATGGGATCCGGAGAGTTCTGCTGATAATCACTATGGCCCATGGGGTCTCTGTAACATGCCTAGTCCAGTCCTACCTAACATCACCAGACTGGAAGAGAAAAGAAAAAGAGGTAATGATTTGATGATTAAACACAAAGCAACCAAAACGACAGTTTGTAAGTGGTGCCTAGTGATTGAGTGACAAGTCTCTGATCCACTCTTCTGACCTGCATGACTATTACAAGAAAAAGATCAATGCCTGAAAAAGCATGAAAAAGCACTTCAGCTTTCAGTTTCATCATCCTCTATGATACATGGGTACTCTAAGCAGCGTAAATGAGTACGACATACCTGGCAGCTGCCATCAGGCCCGCTGGCATGAACTTGCCGGAGTTTAAAAACCGGAATCCCATGACCCCCGCTAGACTTGCTGAGGTTGCTTTTCAGAAACATCAAGGTTTAACACGCGTTAATTTTGCTGTGCTGGAGAAATCAGTCTAAGGAAGATCACATCTGTGCTCTGGAACTAGGCAAACACTGTGTACCCACCTAGAAGAACCCAAACGTGTTTTGGATTCTGACATATCTTGTAGGTACCAAGTCCAGCGAAGCCTCCAAAGAGCAGACCTGCGGCCAGAGAGGGGACACTACCTACAGGGGGGGGGGGACACAACACAAGCAACACGTTTCATTAGGAAATCAATGAAACACCTGAAAAATAAAAATCAATATTCCTTGGATTTGGTTTGGATCATCTAGAGCACTAATGGTCTAGCTAGGATATGTAATCCACACTTCAGGCACAAAACCTTTTACAAATGCAGAAGGTTATACAGTAGTACCTTGGAACACGGACTTAATTCGTTCCAGATGGCTGGTTGAGTTGTGATTTGGTCAGGTCTAATTCGAATTTCTCCATAAGAAATAATGTAAATGAATTTAATCGGTTCCAGACCGCCAAATGCTTGGCTATTTAAACTTATTTAACTACCTAACCAATGATAAAACATTAACAAATAAAACAAAACTAATACACACAAAACAGCACAAACGTGTACTATAGATACTATGTACTATAGATAAAGCACAAAAAAGTTCACACCAAACACAGGAGCACAGATTTCGCACGTCGACCTCGGTCGAGAGGCACTGAGCGGTTCACAGGCATCGGCATCCCAGCAGCCCGTTTGCCTTCGTGATAAAGCCCATAAGACAAGCGTCTCGGTCCGTACAAGCTTTAGCAGGAAAGGTCGAGCTCCAAGATTTCGGTCGGAAAAAAGTAAACGGTTCGTAAGTTAAGAGGCGTTCGAGTTCCAATGTTCTATTGTATAAGATTATACTGCCAACATTAAATTAAAGTTGTCTCTGGCTTAGCCGACACAGTGCCACATACGTAGTATGCATAAGAGCGATGGTACTGAATCCTTGAAGTTACAGTGCATAACTATTATGTACCATCGCGATTAGTATGCATCGATAAAGACAATCACAGTGGCAGTTAGTTACCCACGGAGTTATTACCTGCTTTAACATAACCCACAATACCTCCAATCACAATCAGAGCGGAGTATCCGTATCCCATCCAGTCAATGGGCATTTCGTCGCCTAAAAGTACGATGTATTCAGCTGTTATAACAATACAAATATGTGCACCACAATGAAAAATGAATTGTTTTGGCACTTAATAACCTGTTACCAAGGTAGCCATGTAGCTACTCATTTTTAATTTACTTGAGATTCGTATGTAGATACGAAAGACAGGTTGGAATAGGAGCATTAGCTATGTAGTAATATGAGGTTCAGTCAGACTGTTTGGCTTTTAAAATGAATAACCATAACTAAAATTAGGCGGCGCATATGTTCTACTCACAAAGATTAAGTAATAGTCGATTTAAACTGTCCAAATTATTAAACACTTGCGGAGATTGAACTCCGGGTTTTACTCGATCGCCCAACCCTTACAAACGGGAAGTGAAACTCCGGAAGTGTTGCTCGCTGGAGGCCCACGTGTAACCCATCACAGGACTGGTGACGCTATGCACTTAAAAGGTTTTTTTTCTTTATAGTAAACAATGGTTAACATTCATACATGAACACCTGTATCATTCAGATAAAAAAACAAACCACAGGAAGTCTTGATGTCTTCGATTTTTACAACCGCGTGACTCCTAGCATAATGTACAGCTTTCGGTGCATCATAACCATGAAATGTTCCTTTATAGACCACCTGAATGACAGAGTATTCTGTGGTGAACATGACTATTGTGTATACGTTCATAGAAGTTTCACACCTAGCTAAAGTTGACGATATTCGTGTGTGAACATATACAGACTGGCACCAAGAGTACAGTACGGCATCAAATTTAAAATAACCATCCAAGCGACATACTGCGGGCAACCGACTGCTAGACTTCGCAAACGTTTAAACCACTGACGGATAAGTGCAGCCATTCATTCTCTGAGAACTTGATTTACTTGTAATAAAGACATTAAACGATTCATTAAACTTGACAAGGTTATTTATTGGTTTTTCGTTTCTTTTTCTTTTCACCACCCTGTGTTTTCACTCTTTTTGTGCAACTGGGATCCTCGACGATTACTTCCTCTGTGAAAATTTCTTTCTTTCTCCTTTTGGGTTCAGTTGCAGTCGTGGATGCTAAAGCAAAGAATGCAACAGAAATTTGGTACAAATCTCAGTGTAAGTTCTGCCATTTCCATCAGTTTACACCCCTTTTTAACACCCTTTTAGGTTTAAAAAAGTTCCGACATAGACATCATAGACAAAATATTGTTTTAATACAATTACAAAGCATAGATAAAGCAGCAACACAATGCATACATTTACACAGGGTTTGAGATAATGCTATCGTTTAATGTGAAGTGGTTTCAAATTCAGAAATATAAAAGGAACTTTGTAGACGCCTGCAAATGATCCCAGTAGTACAATATGGAAGAGCCATCACTTTGAGTACTTTCCGGTACCTTGGGAGGTGACGGCCTGCACGTCCTGCTCTGCACTGCATTCCCCCTGTGGGCCTGGCTGCCACACCGACAAGCAGGTCAGCCTCGCAGTGGTGTTCACCATCCCCAGCAAAGCTGGAGGCTCCGTCACCTAAGAGGGAAACAATCTCTCTCACTGGAGCTACCGTGCAGTGCTTACTGTCACACACAAGTGCTGAATGCAGAAAATGTTGTAAACCGAACATATTTATATGTGAAAGGTGTGTCTTTGGTCTAACTCAACCTCTGGTGTGAATTTTAATTGACTAGGATAGTATGATATTGTAATATGTACACCACCTTTTCAAGACTGACGTTCCATAATTTGATGAATCCATCATTTGATGCTGAGACAAGGACACAGAGATCGCCCACTGTACAACTGTCCAGTGATTTTACTCTATTAAAGAAAGCAGAAAAAAATACTTTCATTTAGGAAATAATTGGCATGAGATTCAGGAATAAATGTTTGCAAACAGTAAACCAGTGTAACACCTTTTGCCTATTTCCTCAAAATGGCACAAAGATAAATGACCACACCTGTTCTCATGGGCGACAAACTCACAGACACACTTCTGGGAATCAGTATCGAAAAGTCTCACTACTTCATCATCTCCAGCAACTGCAAGGACTGAATTCTGAGAGACAAAAACACTTTAGTTTGAAAATGAACTTCACATAAAATGTTCAATATATAATACTGCTACTACTACAAGACAGGAAAAGTAAAACAATAGAGCACTGTGTAGATAAAATCATCTTTTTAAAGAGTATATTAATAATTATAACAAAAACGCTACAGAATCTACAATCTAAGACAACTTTATCACTGCGGAAAGAGGAAACCAAAGAGATGTGGCCTTACACTCAGAAACGTAATGGATGAGATCCTCATTGGACAGGAGAAGGTGCCTATCACTGTGGCCGTCTCCAGCTTATAAATGTCTATTTTGTTATTCACAACCACGACATATTTATCTCCAGCAGGAGACCACATGACAATATGAGCACCTAAAAAAGAAAGTGCATGTTTTTAATCCTCTAAGATCAAAGGCAGAAACAAACAATTCAGTGATAATAAAACTCACAACTTACTTTGTTTAATATTTTTGATGAAGGCTGACCTCCCATCAATGAGATTCCAAGTCCTAAAGCAACAATAAAGGTCCAGGAAATGAGACGTGCCAACATTTCAGTGATTAGTGCTGAGCTAATGTTTTATTAATAATGTACAGAAAAAAGACAAAGCACTCAGATGACTGATGCCATCGATTAGAAGACAATGTAATGCAATCAGAACAATGATGGTCAGATCTGAACACAGATGGTTTGCACTGACGAAGGCCAAGTACAGAAACATCTGCACTGAATCCATGATACCAGTCATCATAATAAAAGGAATGCAAGTCAGAGTCGGGACCTGACCTTCATTATTTTGATGTGTTATTAATTTAAATTTATCAGTAAGATGTAGTGTTGCACAGGATGTGGCTTTACAGGTACTTACTGACACACCTTGAAAATATAACCCAAAGAGATTTGATAGGAACAACTCAGTGTCATTACCCACTCAAAAGCTGCGGAGATGCATCAGGGCGCAAGGCTGCTAAATCAAAGTCACCTGAGTGTTCTGTCAGTTCCCACGGACAGAGCGAGTTTTCCAGATGGATGGACAGACACAAATGACACTTGACCCCTGACAAATAAGAAAAAAAAATTGTTTTCTTCCCAGTTCCCAAAAACTTCTTCCTGAAGTTAAATCCCTGAAAGATGACAGAAACAATAGCACCGCAGACTGTGGAGTGTTCAGAAGTGGGGGACAAACCCACCTATGAGCTTTGATGGATTTCAGACACTCCCACTTCCTGGTGCTCCACACACACAGCAATCCATCCTCTGCTCCGCTCAGAAGGTGAGAAGCGCCGTAAAACTCGAGGCATGAAATTGTACCTGTTCAAATAGTCAAACTCATTAACAAAAACCAAGTGGTGACATCATGCTCCAGTTTAGTAGCACTATGCTTAAATGAACTGATAACTAAAGTTAAGTGATGATCACTGACACTACTAAGGACAAACACCATAACCAGTGGTGTTTCTATTCCACTACTGATTGTGCTACTCAATCGTGAAATGTTATGCATACTGCACATAAACAGACAGGCTCAGGGAGCATCACTGCGACCTCCCATCTCCCGGACTGTGGGTTCGATCCCTATCCTGCCTTGGTGTGTGTAGAGTATTCATGTTCTCCACATGTTTAAATGTGTATCCACTCACATCAAACAATCTGTAAATGCTGTATTTTAGTGAGATTGCCCAAACTGCATTATTGTGTGTGCATGTCTTGTGAAAGACTGGCATCTAGTCCTCAGTGTCCACTGTCCCATATTACCTAGTGAAACAGACTGAGATACAGTTAATTTTCATCACAACCCAGTGGATAAGCGATTATGGGATACTGGTGAATGAACGTATATGGATGCACTTAATTTCATGACAATGGTATAACTCACCATTGTGATGGAGCAGGACTCCGTGTTCTTTCTTATTTTTCATGTCATAGAGCTGGATGGTTTCGTCTTTGCTGCCAGTCGCGATGTAGCGCTCGTTAGCGGCCACAGCACACAAGGAGGCTGTGTGAGCATGGTGAGTGAATTCGGCTTTCAGGGTCCATTCCTGCACACCACAAGACACACTCATGGAACTATACAGCGGTCAAGGGCTTTTATTCTTATTTTCAGTAATTCACCAAATCTATTTTGCTGGTGTAAAAATTGAAAGTTTAAATTTGTGTTTATTTGTGAGATTCCGCGCCTTCTTTTTCTACACAACAAGATAAAATCCGACGTTCGAGACGAAGTTTGTCTCCGGAAAAACCAATCCATCCAACATTCGTAAGAGTCAGTGTGTCCAGATACATAAGCACACGTATGAATTACACAGCCATGTACCTTTTCGCCTTTCTGCACCTTATAACCGAAAAGAATCTGCTCGTAACTCCCAGCCACCAGCTCCAGCACAGAATCCATGTTTTCCTCCGAAGCACATGTGACTGTTCATGGCTTCCGCTGCCGTGAGGCAGTTAAGGATACGCCTGCTTCTTAAGTTAACGGTACACTTTAGGAAATCGCATTGGATTTTTATATAATATTTGAATAAAAAAATAAAAATACTTATGAGCTATTTAAAGACAGTGTATGTGAAGGAAGTAACCTGTTTTGCAGGCGGCGCGAGGACACCATTTTGCATAACTGGGGTTGCGCTGGAAGCCATTGCGTCGTCGGCAGTTAGCAGGGAGTAGTGTGTTGTTTGTCCTTTCTTCGTAATTAATATTTTTAGATATTAAAGTAGGTGGATACATAGCAGTATGTTTAACCGGATGACAAGCCTGTGGATGGGGGATGTACGTAATTATTGTTTTATTTGTTAAAAAATGCCTTCGTTAGACGTCGTACTGTATGGCTATCGACGGCGAGTTACGCTTGTGAACAAATTACAACGATCTGTATTTTGTGATACTTCCTGGTGTCAAATCTACTAAATTTATTACTTTTACGTAACATTGGTTTTATATTCCTACCCACATTCGTTTTAACCTGTCGCATTTACTCGTTTTGGTTACTTAGTTCGTTATTAAATATGCTATATGCTAACCTGTTCTTGTGGTAAAGAATGGGAAACAATTTTATCATTTTACATTTAAATTTTACGTGTAAAATGAAATGCTGGCGGTGAGACGCGCGAGCGCTCTAGTGACCAAAAGCCCGTAGAGTCGCGCGCCAGGCCTGGCGCTACAGCTGTGACTGCACGTGCCGCAAGTGGCTATGGTGCAGACCGGGCGATTGGTCTGCAAAAGCAGGACTTATCCCGTTTGAGTAAACCTGCGTGTTATCACGTAAATAAAATGCTGTTATACATTGCAGGTCTGTATCGTAATTCTGGAATCTATGTAAAAACGAATAGACGTTCAAGGTTGGAACGTATTTATTTTAAATGTATGGTTCTATATATGTGTATAAGTTCAGATTTCATGTACAGTGTTTTTTAAGGCTTTCTCACCTGTGTTTTTCTTTCAGTTGGACCCCTACATGGATGAGAATTTCATCAAAGAAGCATTTAGTGCCATGGGCGAGACTGCTTGTGGAGTTAAAATCATAAGTCACAGAGTGACTGGGTAGGCAGCCATTTTGTTTATACATGGCATACATACTTGTCTGAGGACACACCTTGCCTGTATTTCATATTCGTTGAACATTCACTACAGTCTCTGTTTCCCTTTCAGCAAGTTTGAATAAGTCTGAAATGTCCTTCTTTGCAGAGGTTCTGCTGGTTACTGCTTTGTAGAAATGTCAGATGAAGCCAGTGTTGACCGCTGTGTTCTCAGGCTGAACGGGAAGTTAGTTCCAGGATCCAATCCGGTAAGTGTTGCTGGAAGAAGGGCCCCGACTGCCTCTTACATTTTCTCTCCTTAACTTCACTCATTAAGATGACATCACAAAGCTGTGTTTCCTTTAGTAATACTTTATGTTTAATTGTGGAGCTCCCCCTAGTGTTTAAATGTGGAGTATGCAGGCCAGCAGCCCTTATTGGCAGACAGGTTAAGCTCCAGTTTTTTCCACTTGTTAATTCACTATGTCTGAAGCTCGCCAAATAAACTCTGTTATGAACTTACTACCGAGCTGGAAGGCCTGTACTGAGAGGCAGAGGTATGTAACTAAAAAAAATGCTTCCACACTCTGATTGTATCTCATACTAATGCCCACATTGACGTATCAGTGTCCATCTGACGTTCATGAGGGTCTGAGGTACCTTTTTTTCTATTGTGCTTTTTTTTAGCCCAGAAAGTTTAAGTTAAACTATGCGACATATGGCAAAAGACCAGAGGCGGGGTAAGTCCTTGTTCTTTCTCCTCGTTTGGACCCAGAAAGGGTGGGAAGGGAGGGGAACAAAACTAACTGGCTGTATTCAGCTTTGTGTATTTTACAGTATGACTTCAGCTAACACATTAATTGTGAGCATTTTTATTATTTTTTTTACCTTTTTACATCTTTGATACAGAGTTCTTGGGTATATGTAGCAATTTGAGGTCTTGGTCCCTGCCCTGTGCTTTCCAATTGTGCTGCTGGTGACTTTACATAAAGAGCAGATTATGACCATGGCTGACCTTGCCACACGCACGCCTGAGGGAGTTCTTCCTCTTGGCTCTGCAGGCCAGAGTATTCTGTTTTTGTCGGCGACCTTACTCCCGAGGTGGATGACTTCCAGCTCCATCAGTTCTTCATGAAGAAGTACTCCACGTGCAAAGCGGGCAAAGTGGTCACCGATCAGTATGGAAACTCAAGGTAAAATGGCAAAGTAGCGTCGTGCAAATTACCAGTAGGGGCTCTAATCCACTTTGATGTTTTTCTGAAGTACGCTGCGATGGTGAGAGCCCAGATTCAGGCTGAAGATTGTCTCCCCTGGGATGTACATAGTTTTTGTTCTATAACTTGATTTTGTTTTTCAGATTGACAGTTTTGTCAAGTCTTGTTTTAAATGGCTCACTCTTTGAATTCTCCCGAAGTGTATGGTCTTGGTCTTGAACGTTTGCAGAATTCAGATGTCCAGCCGCCTTCGGTCTGGCGTGACCCGAGTGTCACCTGTACCCTGGGTGGCTTTCACTGGAAGCCCTCTTTACACGTTGGCCTATCACAGCGCTCCTTGCAGCTTTTTGCCTCGTCTATCGTAGCATTTATATGGAGGAAGACTTACAGTGGTAATGTGGTTTGCTTTTGTTCCAGCTAAAACTATTGTTTTCCCCATATAGGATAAGCAAGAGCTACACACAATTGAAGTGATGCCACTTCATATTAAAAGTAAAACAACATTTTTCAGTTCTTCCATAAATATCTAATATTTTTTGTAAGTTTTTCTAGTTTGCATGATACCGCGCCTGTAGTGCTGGGGGGGAGGCTGACTGCTGCCAGGGCTGTGTTCACACAGAGGCTACGGCTTCGTCAAGTTCGGCGATGAAAACGAGCAAAGGAAGGCTCTGGAGGAGTGCCAGAACGCCAGCGGCCTGGGGGGCAAGCCCATCCGCATCAGCATCGCCGTCAACAAGGGGTGAGTCTCCAGGGAGGGGCCTGCAGCCCATTGCCGGGACAGGGCTGCACTCTGCTAGCGGCTAACGAGCTGCAGTGTTTAATGAGGGCAGCAGGTGACTCATCACCCGCACTGAGTCGTTTGAAACCTTTGCCGCTGTAAACGGCACTTCATGCTTGAGCAGTATCACCGATGCAGTTGGCAGGGAGGGTCATTTGCGGTGGTCGTTAGGGAGTGAGGAATCGGGTGCACCTGGGAAGTCACATGACTGTCACATGACTGTCACCTAACGAATGAAAGCTCTCCTGTGGTGGGTGTGGCCCCACGCCAGCCAGTCACAGCTGTAAGAAGGCCCCCACCTGCCCTAAAATTTCCCTTGATTATTTGCTGCAGTAAGCTGAGGATTTGCTCAGTATCCTTTGTTTTGGATTTAGGAAAAGTGAATAATTGGTAAGTATAATCTGGTGTTCAGCTGATGACGCAATGGCCCCCAGTCAGAAGGCTTCCTGCTTCTAAATATGTACTTTTCTCTTGGTTTGATTGGCACCTTCCAGTGTTCTGTCGTTGGGAGTTTGATTTAATCTGGGTTCTAATAGCATTTGTAAGGCTATATTTTAACTTTTTTAATTGGTTTGTTTGAATTGGTTAACTGAAACCTTAAATACATAATCCTCATATTCTCATGTATTTTTTTTTTCAGCAACAAGATGAATAATTATCAGCAAAATTACAACTACAACAATTACAACTACAACAATTATGGCAATTACAATGGCTATCAGCAATCATACTACCAGCAGCCCTACCAGAGCTACTACCCGCAGTGGGGCTATGAACAGTACAGCAGTTACAACTACGGCTACGGGCCTTACGGGGCACCCCCCCCGGGCCCTGGCATGATGCCCCCCCCCCCCCCCATGGGCATGCCTCCCATGCCACCGATGCACACAGACACCCTCACACCTGCAGAGGTAGGGGCTGCGTTCTCCTTCATTCAGCTGTGTTTTTGCGCTCTCTCTCTGCTCATCTCAGCTGAGCCTTGCTTGTTGTTCTGTAACTGTGGTCATGGTATGTGGCTTTGTTAGCACAGGAAAACATCTGGGGTGTGTATCACAAAGTGGGATTTCTTGCTTAGCCGGATAACTTGACGGATTTAAGGTTGTCTGGGCTGAACGTAATTAAGAGTCTGGTAAATATAAAGGGCACTGTGCTTTGCTCTTAATGGTTTGGGGCTGTTTGGACCACTTGAGAATGATGGATCTCCATCCTTTCAGCACACTGAAGGGTCTGCAGAGGATGCTGACGAAGCTGTTGAAGGTAAATCCTTATCCTGTGTGTCTTTATTCCCTTTCTGGGGGTGGCTGTGTCCAGTGACATTTGTAGGGCTGCCTGCTGTGCTAGTTGATATTTTTCTTTTGTAGCTACTGTTCACTGTAGCTTTCATAAAAACCCGAGTGTGTAACTCCAGTCCCCAGGAAGCTGAATACTTTTCACAGGAGCCTTTCGGTTAGTGCCTGGTTTACACCAGAGATTGTGAGTGAGTTGTTTAGAGAGGGTTTCAGTACATCAGTCTCCAAAAAACAAGTTCTTTTTTTTTTTTTTGCTTAGCACAACTAATCTATAAAAAATTAGGCCTTAACAATAAAAACATTACAATTAAATTAAAAGGGAATTTGGCTGTACAGACGGTTGTTTAATTTGTGGTTTGGGTGTGATTCCATGGGATTAGCCAGTGTTGGGGAAGTTTAAATGATGGTGGGTGGCTGTGGTCCCCTCCCCTCGTGGGACATGCCCCGGCCATGCTTGGTGCTGATGTTCGCCTTCCCTTTCAGACCCCAACCCCCAGGTGGATGTGGACACTCTCAACAGGCAGTACATGGAGCGCAGTGAGGAGCTGTACGACTCGCTCATGAACTGTCACTGGCAGCCACTGGACAGCGTCACCTCCGACATCCCGGCCCTGACCAGCTCCTGAAGGCCCTCCCATCCAGTCTGCATGTGTGTGTGTGTGTGCGTGCGCGTTGGGTTGCCTCTGGGGCTCAACAGCCATTAAAAATACCCCCCCCCCCCCTTACTGATTTTTATATGTAATTATTTGGAACTTTCAATGGGTGGTGGTGTACTCCGGAGGTGTATATGATGTCACACATTGAGGACTGTCCGTCCTGCTGTTTCTCCCAGCGGCGTCGTTTACCCTCTCTCGTGCGCAGGGACTCTCTGCCTGTGAGCGGGGAGCTTGGTCTGACGTGGCTTGGACCGCTGCATCTGCCTTTCTGCTTCGACTGGTGAATGGAAGGATGGATGGATGGATGGATGAATTCTCCATTTGGCTGTGAATTAGGGTGTTGCTGATGGTGGTGGGTGGGGGGGGTCTGAGCGCTGGAGTGTAGCGGCTGTTGCGTAAGCCTTCTGAAGTGGCCACCTGTGCAGCCGTGGGTGGAGCGCTGCCCTCCTCCGCCTGTGCAGCCCTGGGTGGAGGCACATCACTCATCACTGCCTGCCATAACTTTTATATATTATATATAAATGTGGTGTAAATTGAACAATTTGGTGTGTTGTGTGTGTATATATCTATTTTTCCCCCCCTTTGAATTACTGTTTGCCATTATTAAAGACAGAAAATAGTTACTCTGGAAGATCAGCTGTTGTGTTCAGATTTTCTAATGAGGGTGGGGTATTTCGTGGTACTTCCTCCTGTCTAAGGTCTTAAATAGAAGAATATAAATTGGCACAGTCCCTTTCTTTGCAGGAACTCCAGTCGAGTGTCTCTATGTTTGTAAACAAAGTAAAACATCTTAACCATATTTTAGGTGGAAACGCCTCTTATCCTGGTTAAGATATTTCATAGAAAAATTTTGTTTTCAGTAGTTGGGAGAACTTCCACTTTGCGTTTAAAGTTTATTTCCTTATAAAACTGTCAAACGTTTCATGTATTTTTGTATTAAAAATCATCGTTATTTTTAACTACCCTTTGGCCAGAAAGCCGCACGATGATTGGGGATCTGATATTCAGACAAACACTCTAAACCTATACAGAAGAGCTTTACGGGATGAAGGGGTGTTTGTTTCCATGTGCAGCAAACACCGACCACGTATTGCGCTCGCCAGTTCAGTTCAACTGTCTACGGAAAAAGGCGGCAAGGTTACACATCCGTTATTTAGCTTGAAATATTTTCTGTGAAGCTCACTGGTTGAAATTCTGTACGTATTCTCCTGTTGCAGTAATAATAAATAAACTTGGCATACTGAAGATTATAATGGAGTAATGTTTTGATTCTCCGACTGGTGAATTAAGCCTTTACATAGAGGCATTCCCCTTTGATAATGCATTTTTGTGCATGTGGGTGCAGACAGCTCGTGGCAGGCTAAAGGCCACGTGACTGATTGCAGGTAGGGTGTCTTAGCCCGCCGATTCACACACAGCCGCCGATAGTTTAATAAGAGCTCACTGTGCAAAGTTTGTCCTGATATTTTCAATATTTTTGAAGAGGTTTTGTTTTGTAGTTCAATCTCAAATGTCGATATACAGCTTATCCATTATGTTGAAATAGGACAGTGAATACATTTAGGTCGAAAGAAAAATCTACTTTCCCAACCACTAGGTGGCGCCGTAAGACTACATCTTTAATCTCCAAAAAGTCCGGCAATAGATAAAGACATGAATATGACGTAAAGATATAAGATATTTATAGAGCAACACAGTTAAGTACCGGTGACGCTTCTTTGATCAATATATTTTATTTCTAAGAACGAATCAGATTCTTATATATATAAAAAGAAAACTTTTTCAAAGCATTAATGAAAATCTTAAAAAGCGACCATTTTCAGCCTGCTAACATTATTTCCCTCATGACCTGAATGATAATGGAAATGCAGCCTCCGTTTACGTATTAGCCTAAATTAAAGCAAGAAGGATTCGCTCATGTATTCACATTTTTCCGCGGAGGCCAGTCAAAGATAAGTCCGTTTTTCGTCGGATGATGGCGCCAGAGAACTAATTATTTCCTTATTGCGGGCGGGCCCTGGTCTGTGTGTTTGCGTGTGTGTGTAAAGGCGTGCTAGAAAATAAACCATATGTAACCTTTAGTTATTTTCTTCGTGTAACTAAGTTGTCTTGGACTATTTCAAGACAGAGGCTTTATTCTAAGAATGTACAAAGATTTTATTTGATGTGGCATAAAACATGAAAATTAAAAATGCCGGTTGAGTTTTGCTTTGTTTTTATTTCAATTCACGCAAATATTTAGTATATATCATGTCATGTATATGTTATGCATAGGCTTTACAGTATATGTAAGTTGTCGGTTAATCGGCCTATAAGTGGGAATTTATTACACGAGTATTCATTATTTATTCATTTTATTTATGGTATACATTACATTTACAGTTTAGGATAGATATTCCAGAATTCCTGTACTACATAGGCTTACATTATCTTCCTACCTAACAGCAACTTAATGTTTCCTAGACTATAACTGTGCCCAGTCTGAAGTGTCCATTCTGAAATCACATTTGTAGATCACATGTAATCTACTTCAGCATGCATTTGCTTGGATGCAGACTTAAGTGGATTTTCTAAAATGTTGTGTAGACTGCCTCTGAACAACCTGATGTCTTTTGAATATATATTTGGATATATGAGAATACACAACAGGCCTACTTAATAGCTTAGTGTACTGACTCAAATTTCAACGAATTATAACAGGCCTACATAATACGCATTATACGGTGTGCACTGCTTCGTGCGCGTTCGTTATAGTTATTACCAAAAACGTTGCCGTTTCTATTCGGCATTTACGAACACCCGCGACTTAGTGGTCGTCCTTTAAGGCTCTCCTTGCTCATTTGATAGGCTAACGAATGTGCTAAATATCTGGAACTGCGCTACGTTGTTTAAACTTGTGATATTAAAATATGTAATGTGATACAAGTTGTATAGAGTTTCTTAAGAGTACGTTGATAAGTGAACCAGCTATTTCACGCTTCATTTGACAGCGTAAGCGCCGCCCCAGGAGCGCCGTGTTACCCTTATTTTCAGAACTTTTAACCTTTTAAATTAGGCAACTGTATACAGAAGTGGATACAGCTATGGAATATTTTACGAAATAATAAGTTCGGTGTATGTTCTTTGGTTTCCGATTTCCGAACAGGTAAATTGGTCAAGTCAAACCGCATAGGTATTTAAATTTTCACACTGCAGTCTGTGCTATATGCCTTTGCAACAGGCCAAAAACACATATCCTCACATTTATTTATTTCAGTAGAAATAATATTCGATACGGATTTATTTCAGAATAAAATCGCGAGAAGAAGAATAAAAGGGAACCATTAACAGGCTGTTTACGGAGACTAAAATTTAATCTACGGAAAGGTTGGGGTTATTTTGTCATTAGTTGTACCTGTAGAGTATCAGTCAAGGTTTGAGGTTTCAACTTTCACAGCGGTTAAATTTTGTTATTCAATAAAGTACATTTCTTTGGCATATTGAATACGAGTACGAAGAATATATATATTTATATAATATGCAGGGTAATTGTTAACGTCCTTTTTAGGGTAGTTTGAAGTTACAGAGCCGGCGAGGTGCGCATGCGCCGCACGGTGGCGCCCTGTTTTATGGCCAGGTGAGATGATCCTGTTCAGGTAAAAGCAGAATTTCACTTTGAGATCAGAGGTTCAGTGAGATAACACCGTGCATGATCCAACATACAGAGTACGAAGAAAACAATGTCAATAATGGGCAAAATGGGGGATTGGCAGGTAGGTGCCCTTTAATAGTACATTTTATACTTGTCTATCATGTGTCAAATATCGTCACGGTCATTTAAATAGAAAACCAAACGAAACATAAAACGCTGCCGTCAACTTTTCATTAGCAAGAACGAGTACCATCAGACAGCAATAATGGGCCTTGTAGTGTGTTTTGTAAGGCTGAAGCAATGTAACATTTTAATGTATTTTTGTAGCACGGAAAAGGGCGTTAAATCTGAGATTAAATGATTGGCTTCCAACCACAAGGGTAAAGACATATTTCAAGGAAAACACAGGATATCTTTGGTGCTGAATTTTATATTGAATATTAAATTGTAGGGTCTGAAATGTGTTTTTCCTGTACGAGCTGCACTGTCACTAAAGTTTCTACTCTCACAATACGCATCTTTCGTGAAAATAAAGGAGACGTGTTTTGGAAATGTGCGCCCTTATCAGCCCAATATGGCTGTTAATAAAACAGGCCTTCGTAGTGATTATGTCAGGCCTACAGGACAGTCACTAAATAAATCCTGCCTTAGACTGTTCACAGTATGTCCTGAAGACAGTAACCCCCCCCCCCCCCCCCGAAATATATTTAATTTATATTTCATTTAATGACGTGTAGGCGCTTCAATATTATTCAATTCACTTTTAAAAAAAATTCGATTATAGGCCTTGGCTTAACAATCATACTCACATACAATATAGCGCTGGTACCCTTTTCTGAAGTTTAACATTGTAATGCCAGGCTGATTTATCCATGCGGCCGTATTCTGACACATTTTCTTTCCGTAAAACACTAATTACAGAAATCTATATTTCAAATCAAAAGTAAACAGGGTCGTTCGCTTAAAATGTAAGCATTCGAAAGTGTACTAAAGATTTCTGTTTACTTCTATTTGTACCCTATTGAGTATCATTTCTGTTTATGATAATCTTTTAAAGTGCATTTTTTCATAAATACCAAAAATAGTGCGTGTTTTCTAGTGGCATATATGTCTATAAAGAAATTGAAGACGAGGCACCAAGTTAAAAAAAAATACGAGAACCCAAAAGAGAAATCCAATATTTCAGCTTGTATCTCACCGTCATATTTTGTGATCCTTGTGAGAGATGGTACGAGTCTTGACCTTTCATTAATGGCAGCGGATTTGGAGTCCGCCCCCCCCCCCCCGCAACCCCACCAAAATGGAGATTAAAGCCAACGCCTAGGAGAGCTTTACCTGTTTTCCCCCGACAAAGCGGTCTTTAGCTGTCGCCAGGGACCGAAGCTGAAACTGTCTGCTGCGACTCCGCATTGACATTAAAATAATGTGTTTTTTTGTTGTGATAATTATTTTCTTTTTAAATGCAAACTAGTTTGCTCAACTATAGCCCCTTACCTGCAATGACTGTTTACCGTTTGCATAACACTAGTAGGGCTGGTTTTAAACGCCCCGGCCTCAATAGGACTAAAACAACAAACTGTTGTCATTTTAACATGAGAGGGACAATCATGTAGCTTACCAAAGCTTCAGTGAATCAATGTGACCACATCTATATGCTATATTTTTACAATATATACATGCCGAAAAGAATTTTTATTTCAGGCGAATGTATCAGATATGTTGCCTGAATCCGAGCCTAAATTTAAAGGGGCCATTGGATTTAAATTGTCGCTAAACAAATTATACATATATTTTAAAATCCATTACAATGTGTAGACCTTTTAAAATCACTTCGCCAATTGACAGATAGATACGCTTAAGTTTTAAATGTACGTCTAAACCTGCCAGTGACATGCATTTCAATATTGGCATATCACGATGACCCAATCGGAATTAAAATATCATAAGGGGAATAAATGTATTCTCTGAAAGGCGGGCATTCTGCTTGGAAAACGTCTCGGTTTACCTGTCCACGCAACGCCTGAGAGTCGGCAATCAGACTGCTGCCTATATGCTAATGAGCAAATCAGAAACATATTACCGCGCGAGGAACAAGCCTTTACTTTCGCCATTAGAGGGAGATGTCAGAACGCAGACAGAATAGCAGCAAAATACTGTAAGACACAGAAAACAATTCGCAGTGTGAAAAAAGACAGCAGCGTTTTCAACACTTACAAAACCGAAAATGCTTTGGAAATTAATGGATAATATTAAGTACGAAGACTGTGAGGTAAGCGGCTTTTTCATCGTCCAACATAATTTCATTAAAAATTAAATAATAAAAAAGCAGTAAAAATGCACTAAAAACAAAATTAATATGTATGGGAACTAAAGAAACTTAAAGTAAATTAATTAATTAGTGTAATGTATTTTTGGTTAGAATTTTATTTTAATATAGTCTTAGAAAAACTGTAACCACATAAAGTACGATGCTTTTAGTACTGATGATGATGACAATAATGATAATAACAACAATAATAATGACAATAATATGAGAATGTATAAAGGTTGAACATAGTTAATTGAATATACCAGACGTTATATTCTGTTTACCCGCTACAGGTCCACAGGTACGCGTGTACTGCGTAATTTATAGTAAATTATATTTAAAAAGAAAATGCTTGAATGCATTAACGCTGTTTAGATCATAACTTTAAAATAGGCACACTTTAAACAACGTTTCCAAATATTGTGAATCAGTTACAGGAGAGTGGTGTGTTTTCTAGTTTACGAAATAAAATGTCAAGAGATTGTCAAAAATGCACTGTACCGACGCTCAACAAATTAAAAAAATATGCTCAATTTAAATTTAAATAGTTGGAACTACGATATGATTTGCACCTTGTTTCATTGAAACATTCATATTATGGGAAGTACTGATCTTTTTACTCTGTAGGTGTCCGGGCGGTTTGGTTTGTTACTTATTTTGGCAGTTGTCTAGAAGTCGCGTATCCAGTCAAACGGGTTCAGACTGCAGGGCCACGCCAGGATCGAGACCAGACGTTGGAGAGTTTAGATTCGCTCTCGATCGGTGTCTTTTTCTTATTTAACTATCGAAGTTTTGGTCCATGGACATTGGTACGCTTTTCTAAACTGACAGTGGATTGTTCGGTGTTGAATTTATTATCTGATGAAAAGCTAATTATAAATGGGGCACGGAGTGAGCGGACTGCTTATGCTACTCTGCTCGCTGTCAGCACGAATTTTGGACGTTTTTCATCTTCGCCTCAAACACTCGACTTGGCCGTTGCGTTAGACGGCTCAGCCATGGATCAGTCGAACGGAACAACTAAAACAAACACGGAACGCGGAACATCGGGAGCTGATATGAAAAACAAGGCAACTGGTCGCCCGAAAAGCCGCGTTCAGTGCAATAAAAATGGGCCAGTCCAGAGCAACTTAGGAATCACCGAATTTTCAAACGAAACCGAGGTACAGAGGGGTTTCTTTCTCTTTTTCGTTTTATTTCTCCTTTAATTCAGTCTTCTCACTTTGGCTTGCCCTCCAACCTTTTAAAATGTTCCCCCTTCTTTCTGATTCGTCAGACGCAGGAGAATGTGCCCCCTTTTTGTCTCCCTCTCTCTCCTTCACTCCCTCTCTCTCTCTTTCCCTCTCCATCTCTGATTAGATACACTGATTCTCCGTTCAATGGACGTCATTTAGTGCAGACTCTGCCTTGAGTTGCTTCCTCGCTTCACGCTCGATTTCCGACCATTCTTCTCTTATTAAGTATTCGTGTTATATTAATAGTCATGAATATCTGCTATTAGGAGTCCGAGGGAAGAAGCTGATCTCGGCTAATATGAGCCGGAGCCAGGCTGCTCAGTTATAGAGCGAGAAGACAGAAGGAGGATATGAAACATTCTAAATAATAATCTACGAGACATAACACTGCATTTTAAAATCAAATGAAGGGCAACGGGAATTTAACCAAATTCTGATGGATTACTGCGCTTCGGCGGTGCACATATGAACATCGACACTGTGAACTGCCAGTAGTGTGTTGCTGGGCTTATTTAAATTGCGTTTACTTTTTGTTATTTTATCGGCTTTTATTTGTTTCCTTTTATCCCTAAAATTCTGCTGTCAGAATTTTTCGAATCGTTTCGCAGATGTTAGTACACAGTTTTTCCGCGATGGTAAGTATTGCTGACAGAGGATGCAAATGAGTAAAACTTTGTATTTAAGCACAGATTGCAAGCATTTTATTAAGTCTGCTGGAGGCGTTTCTTGTATTATTACAATTTGCCAACAGCAATCGGTCAGCGGAAGCGTGACACACGCTCGAAAATCCTTAATACTTTGTATCATACACACAGTAAAACAGTTATGCATAATTGCTGCCTGATCATTTACCTGAAACCCCGTCGACTGCGTTGTAATTATTATTATTTTATTTTCTTACTGATGTTTGTATCAGGCCTACACGTGTATGCGTCTTGTTTTGGCTACTTTATGGATTTTAATTAATAGTGATGATTTTTCTTGCCATGAAATAGCGCTGCTAAAATGCGGATAAAATTGCGTCACTTGAATTTTTAACGGGTCGTTGCAAATATGATTGTAAAGTGGGACATATTCTTCTTTTCTTTTTCATAGGATCGTCACGACGGTAGCAATGGGACGGCCAGATTATCTCAGCTGGGGAGCGTGGCTCAGTCTCCGTACGCCAGCGCTCCGCCGCTCTCCCACACTCCCAACTCCGACTTCCAGCCCCCGTACTTCCCTCCACCTTACCAGCCCATCTACCCGCAGTCTCAGGACCCTTACTCGCACGTCAACGACCCCTACTCCCTCAACTCTCTGCACAGCCAGCCGCAGCCGCAGCACCCCGGCTGGCCGGGACAAAGGCAGAGCCAGGAGAGCAGTTTGCTGCATCAGCATCGCGGCTTGCCGCCTCAGCTATGTCGGGACTACCGGAGAGAAGTCCTTCTGCCGTCGGGACACGGAATCGATTCTGGACTGACAGATTCTATCTCTATCCATGGAATACCTCATCCCCTAGAAGATGTTCAGGTAAGACAATTTAAATTCATTTAACGACATGTTGCATTTCAAAGCACTGCAACCTGCTGCCAAAACCGGTATAATACATTTTATTCTCCCACATGATCACCATCCTGGTCATTTTTTTTTTTGCCCGCACTTTGCAATCTGATAAGATGAAGAACAAGGTATCACTTTACAAATTTGCAATATTATACAAAATATACAATATTTTTTTAAATATTGACAATAGTAATCGTCAAAAATCAGCATCCCCTCGTCGTGAAATAAAATAGATAAATTTGCACAAATCAATACAATTACTGTATTTTCATTATGAACGAACTCTATAGTGTATTTTATCTCTTATTAGTGTCATGCTTCCTGTTTTACTATCTAATTTTTGACCAGCGATAATCGAAACAGATTAGTAGTAAATCTGCAAATAGTCGCATATTGTGTCACAAAAATTTGAAGGTTACTTAATTAATTGGCGGCCTTAATTCATGTTATGCCGAGGATGCCTCAAAGATATATTACGCTACGTGAACCTTATTGTACATAACGTACGTCGAATTAGCTTAACGTTCAAATGCTAATAGGAAAGAATTCAATATAATAAAAAAATAAATTCCCAATAAACATTTACATTCAGTCGGTTGCAACTCAAGTAAGTGAGAAATGCAATATTGACGTGCCTCTTTTATGAAGGAAATAGTCTTTCCGTTGATTGAGCTCATTTGTCATGCAACTTGAACAATCTCGAATTTCAGGCGCGATGTGCTCGATTTGTAATCACAGTTAGACATTATGTAAACAGTAATTCATTCTTGGTGTAGCAGTGCACCTCGGCTTTTACTATTTCAAAGTTACTTCGTTAAGTCATTGGTGTTGCAATCCCGTAAACAGTTTATATACTTTTATCCTCATCCACTAATGCTAACTGCTCTCTCGCGCTCTCCCACTGCCCTTTAAACACAGCACCTGTGAAAGCAGCTCGTTATGCTATATAAAGCCTTTGTAAATTAAAATTTCGATTATTTTTCAGCACGTCGAAGAGCAAGGCATAAATATTCAAGACCAGACTGTCATTAAGAAAGGTAAGCGATATTTTTTAAATATAGGTTTTACGCTGTGGGGTAAACAATTCAGGCGTATTAGACAAGATTGCCTTCGCTTTTGAGTTAATTGTTTCTGATTAGGATATATACATATATGCTCTTAAGAGATTTAAAACATGTACATTTGTTAACGTTCAGCAGAGTGTATTTGGAAAAGCACGTCGCTCTGTCGAGGCTTGTTCTCTGTTATGTTATCGTTTCAGAACCCTGATATTTAAAAAAAAACAGCTGCTAATGATGTGTGATTTCAGTTGGGGGCTGCAAACAGTTTAGTAGAAATTATTTGCAGCTTCACAAATTTTTAAAATGCTGCGGGACAATTCTCAGTTATTTGATGACCATTTCCTACTACAATTTCGGTAAACGCCACTTTGAGCGTGTGCAGTGCTGCATATTATGCCTACGTGAGCCGCAATGAATTGGAGTTCGGTAGTTTTTTTCATCTGCTGTAAATACGCAGCTTATAAGAGTTTTTCCAAAGTCAAATGAGATACGTGGGGGACAAATCTTAAGAGATACTCTTTGCACATCAACATGATAATTGGCTCTTATATTAGTAATCTCAAGAGTTCGTTTAACTCCTATTGTCTCTATTAGCCTCCCCTGAGCTATTAACGTCACAAGTCATCTGTCCAAAATTGCCAATTCTTTTGTTTCCTGAAGACAGCGGTATCCTAAACAAAACGTCATCAAATAACCGTATTTATATGTATTAAATTGTAAAAATCCAGTGTGCAACAACTAGTCTGAATGGCGGAAAAAATACATGAAAAATACACATATAACAACTCCATTATGTGTGTGAAATTTTGAAATATTTCACAAAAATGTATTTACTTAACAAATTGCGTTACACTATACATAATTTAGTTCATTTTACATGACATCGTTATTACGTTTCAGTCAATCTGACGTGTTTCCTAGGCTTGGCACACTGCTTGAAAGATTTAGCTTCTATTATAAAGTCAGCAGGTTACAAATTATTGTGTTTATGTTGTAGAGCAGAGTAATATAACTGATATTAAATCGAAATGCGTTTATCGTTATGCGTTTATCGGGCGGTAGTGCTGAGATACTGCACTGTGATTACGTGTTGGATTATATGTGTTTTTTTTTAAGAATGCTACTAATTAAATGGAGACTGGGTGGAAATGAGCAAACGACAGTTACACTTTTCAGTTACCTTTAATCTTTATTCTGTTCCATGACAATATTACTAGTAAACCACTTTCCAGAAAATAGCAGAAGATGGACTTGTACGAGCGCCATTCTTTCGGATTCTTTGAACGGGCGTGGATATCGAGCGCATTTCTGACATGTTTTTTCGTTGTAGGTCCGGTTTCGCTCTCTAAAAACACAGGCAGCACCATCTCCACCATCCCCATGAGTAAGGATGGGCTCTTCGGCGGCGTGATAAACCCCAACGAAGTGTTCTGTTCTGTTCCGGGTCGCCTGTCTCTGCTCAGCTCAACATCAAAATACAAGGTCACGGTGGCGGAAGTGCAGAGACGCCTCTCTCCGCCCGAGTGCCTGAATGCCTCTCTGCTGGGAGGAGTGCTGAGGAGGTGGGCTCTTCGTGTTGCTTGGTTTGGGTTCATCCATGTGTACACTAACTATCACAATAAAGGCAAGACCATTTAACTCGACCGAGATTTTCAATAACAGATAACAATGTACTTGCCTTACATGTTACTGACTCTATATCTGAGAAAACTTAGGTGGTTAAAATTGGCTGAGATAAACTGAATATAAACAAACGTGATATTTAAGAATCAGAAAAGGATATCGAATCTAAAAATGTAGGTTAATAAAATGAACAATGCTGTCCGCCTTTGTGTTGGCTTCGCCTTGGGCTATTTTTCTCTGCAAACCTTCGACATGGTTAAAATATTGAAACATTACAAACTGTCAATGAATCGGAATCATATAAATTAATCTGAATAATACAAAATTGTTACAAAGATGTTGCTACACTTAAACATCGTAGACAGTACTGTGGTTGGAGTTATTTTAAGGAGTGCATGCATTCGTTTTATGCCGTATGGAAATGACTGATTCCTAAAACAGTTCCCCCAAATATTTCATGTTTTATATAAACAGATGTAGATGCATTGACTATTTAACTATTGATGTGCGGTCATTAGGATTTCTTGTCTGTTGCTTTGTATGGATGAGGACCTGAGCATCTTTTCTTCTGGTTTTAATATAGGGCTAAATCTAAAAACGGTGGAAGGTCCTTAAGAGAAAAACTGGACAAAATTGGGTTAAACCTACCAGCAGGCAGACGCAAGGCCGCAAACGTTACGCTGCTGACGTCACTAGTGGAGGGTAAGTTACGTGTGCGCGACTGGAATTTTGTTGTTCACGGAAATTACGGAAAGGTCTTTTTAAGAATCAGTCAAAACTTTCCTTATTTCATTTCACACCTACAGTGCAATCGATAATACATTAAAGGCATATGTCACAATAATGTTAGATTATGGTCAATACAAAGCGGCTATGGAAAATGTTTCTTTTGTTTTCTGCTAAAGCCACATAGGCCCATATCAGAGCGTAAGCACGGTCGGGCCGAGGTTACATTCTGCTAGGTGAGGAACATACGTTTTTATCACACCGCCATCCAGAATATATTTTCTGAAAGGAAATTGATTTTTTTAAAAATATATCCCCATGTAACTGTAATCAATGGCAAAAATGTATTGTATTTTAAGTTGATAACACAGTACAACAAACAGGGCTGTTCATTTCAAAAGTAGACAGATCTTCCAGTCACACAAACGTAAATATATTGTATAACGTATGTGACTGTAGCATATGGTAAGCGTTTATCGTGCAGCGGCAGAGGAAACCCATTGTGCTGGCAAATTGAACGTTGCTGTTTCGTGCAGTGGCATTTGGTGGGTTGTGCGTCGAGGTGAAACCCTCGAATGGTTCATTGGTTCCTGTTAATCATTGCAGTTGAGGGCTTGAATGCTGTATTCCTTTTTTGCTTCATTGAAATTAAGTGTATTATATGTTAATAAGCCTGATGAAATGTATGATTGGGTTGCGATAGGGGAGTGGGGGTCGGTATACAAAGGCAATCAATTATCTGTTGAGGGACAGTGCCGTTTCCAGGTAGATATTACCGTGTAACGTCCGCTCCTTTTTGTACATACCGGTGTACTGAGCTTCGGTTTGAAATCCTAAATGACTCATGCCTTCAAAAGGCCTCGAATGTTGTGTGTCAGGAAGTGCCGCAGTCAAAACCCAACTGGTCCAGGAAATTAGAACCGAAGATAGGAAGGACAAAAGGCGAAATGTCTCAGTTGAATGACTCCAGTAAGGCTATAAGAAGACTAATGTCTTCCCACTTGAAATTAAATTTCGATTGCGGATCATAGAACCTTTTCAGTATTAATGGTTAGTATATAAACGTATTGACCCAGCAATTCAGTGTCTTTTGATTTAACATGGCATAACGCTGTACACTGTAAAAATTCACATATCCATTACCTGTTCATCTCTATGCACGGTATATTGTCTTTAAATCCGAATAAGGTATTAAAGCAATATAGAACAGTTACGCTGTTTTTAAGAGATCGGTGTTTCTATAGGCGTTCTGTCAGTATGTTTGTAATACACACAGTAATATAGAGATTAATTGCAGACTTCTAATAATGTGCACCGAAACATTGTTTCTCCCTCTTTAGGCGAAGCAGTTCATCTTGCTAGAGATTTTGGTTATGTCTGCGAAACGGAGTTCCCAGCCAAGGCAGTAGCCGAATATGTAAACCGTCAGCATTCTGACCCAAATGAACAAGTCCAAAGAAAAAACATGCTACTAGCGACAAAGTAAGTTAATCTGTTATTACAATGTCCAATTCAATAATGTTCCCGGCTACAGTGACACATTAAGCGTAGCATAAACATGTTTGTCACATGATTATGTCGTAGGTAATTTAAAAAGTTTGACTACTGAATCTGCAGTTACAAGCCTAAAAGTGTCACGCACTTTTTCTGCTGCTGTTGTATTCATTAGTGTCTTAAATTGAAGACTAAACTGCGCCATGTATCCCCAAAACTTTCAAGAATGAGTTGCGTATTTTGCCATGTCATTATGCTGAAATTGCGTAGACGCTCACGCTGACATAAATTCGCTGTGTTTCTTCTAGACAAATCTGCAAAGAATTCACAGACCTGCTTTCCCAGGACCGTACTCCCTTGGGGAATTCCCGACCACAGCCTATTCTTGAGCCAGGGATTCAGAGCTGTTTGAGCCACTTCAGCCTAATTTCGCATGGATTCGGTACCCCGGCAATGTGCGCAGCCCTCACGGCGTTACAGAACTATCTGACGGAAGCCGTAAAAGCCATGGACAAGATGTACCTCAACAATAACAACCACAATGACAACGGCACCAAAAGTGGAGATAAAGAGGAGAAGCACAGGAAGTGAGTCACCTCGCACAAGTAGTCCATTATAAATATTTAGCGATACAAATGATCAAGAAATCGTACAGACCACCCCCGGATCCTACGATTTTACATCAGTTTCATCACATTTCAACTGTGGAATCATGGGAAGTCAGGCACCCCTCCAATTAAATTAAATAATCACACGGAAAAAGAGATGGAGCTGCTTGAAAATAAATAAATAAGTGAATAATAGGAGCCCCCGTCACTTCGAGGACTTTTGCTGTCCCTCCCCCCTCTTTATGAGCTGCGACGGACAGATGAATTTCAGCAACCCTCATATATCGCAAGTTACGATTGTAGCCATATGAAGAGAAAGTAAAAGGATGCATTTTTATCAGTATTGTGAAAAATAAACTTGAAAAAAAAAACACAGTTCCATGTCATGACTTCAGTGATAGACTTCCACGCCAAGGTAAAGCGACCAACTTGAATTTTGAATTCTAACACGATTCACGGTTATATAAGGGAATCAGTGTTCATGTATGTATATATTTATTTAAGTGTAATTTAATGGGAATTGTAAATATGGTGCGTCTGTTGAAGCTTTTTTATTTATCTGGTTCCTCCTGTTTTAGTGGGTTTTATTCGATTAGTTTTTCATGTGGTTTCATGGTTGTTAGCAAACACGTTTCTTATTTTCCTCTGGGATCTTTTCATTCAGCCCTCCTGTAGCATGTTGAGGCGACAAGGAAGCACCTGAACAAACTCCTAGAAATAAACTTTCGTTTTCCTGTACTTCATTATTCGATTTTAAAACGAATACAGCAAAACCGACAAGATAACGAGAGACGAACTGTTTTGTGTTCGGGTTTTCGTTTGACAGGAAAATGTGTTATGTGCCAAGCGGATTATAATTTACCCTTTGCTCTTTCCTTGAAGCATCATTACAGCAATAAATGGATATTGTCTTTTGATTTTTTTAAACGTTTGAAAGAGTTGAACATTTTTGAGGCCACGTGACACCCTGTAGGCCCGTGTCCAGTGTCTGGATTGGAGGCGGCTTTCCGTGTAGCTGTGTTGTATTGAGCTGTGCTGACAGCTTCTCATTCTTGTCTATGTATTATAGTCCTTTGTTGCCCAGAAAATAAATATTTGATACGCTTTATGTCGATGGTTATACACATATATTGTTTTTATTCCGTGGTTGGTGTACACGAGCGTATTTTCGTTCATGACAGTATTTTTATTTAGCACTGTTAGTGTAATTCAGTTTAACTCTCCCTAGACGGTTTCTATTTGCAATATGCAGCCGCGGTTTCCCTCATGTGTAATAATAATAATGGTAATCTCAATACCAGCTAAAACTTTCAACTCCGGGAGTTCAGAGAACTGTATCGTAAAAGGAAATAACATATTGCATCATCCCTGACGCCACATCGGTCTGAAATACTTTTCTATTAAATGGTCATTTTATTGACCCATGTGTGTTTGCGAGATCTATAGATTTCTATTTCTTACGACCAAACGAATATTATTTTCGGTGATATCCTAAAATGTTGCACTGTTTGTTACTGGATTGTATATGTAGAAATAAAATAATAATAATAATAATAATAATAATAAATACTATATAAATAGACCAATGTAGCACTAATTTATTTGCGTATAATTAGTAAACGAAGTATTTGTTTTATGAGCTTTAAAAAAGGTAAATACAATTTAAGCAGTCAGCGGTGATGAATTTAAACAAACATTACACATAGGTAGTTCTGACCATAGAATTCCAGTGATAGCGAATTAAAAAGGCTGCTCAGATTGGTAACGCTATAACACTGTTTACATTAGTCACCTTCTTAATTTCAGTTAGGTCTTCGGTACGGATCAACATTTTGCTTTTCAGGTGAAAGGAAGTTAACTGTATAATGAGCGATACTAAGGTGTAGCCTACATACGGCGACCTGCAGGTGGAGTGACGTGGCATCTGCTCAGCTCATCTAAACAAATCATATGTACAGGGGAGCGACACGCTGACGAGCGCTCCTCTGTGGTATTGCCAGATCTCAGCTGCAATTTTGTTTTCAATTAAAGGAGGAAAAACATTAAACCAGAGAACAGCCACGGCGCATAACGAAGCATTTAACGTATCCCTTTAATTGTCTAATTTATAATTTCCTACTAGACACAAACTACCAACCAGGCAAAACTCCAAGCAAAAATAAAATTCGCATTTTTTTAACGGGTCTGATAAGCCATTTAATTCATTTTAGTGTAATTCTTATGGTATACATTTATCAATACTCTTCTGCAACGACAATGATGTCGCTCACATCTCAGCAGTGGCTCGCGGTATGTAGCTGTACTTGGTCGATTGTAGCCATAACCCCTAGTTTGATATAAATGAATTACATCTGATTGCACTTCAATTCACCAGCGTATAGTTTCCTTCTTTTTCACTAACCACCACGGTCTTAATTGAAATATTAATTAATTCATTTTATTCTCTTCAGTTTTTGTTATTAATTAAAAACATTGCTGTTAAAATGGATTAGTTTGTATACAGACGAAATAGCGAACATACGTTTTGCGTTAAACTGGCACGTTAGCGTAACAAGTTATTTTGTAATTAAATAAAGGAAGTATTTTATACACAGTTGAGCAATAGGAATCACTGAGAATTGTGTAATCCGAAATGTGGCCCAAAGAATGTTAATTCCTGATGAGGAAGCTGGTTTATTAACTGATGGTAAAACTGTCGTTTAATCGCCCGTGCGCTGTGTCGTTTGAGAGGTTATCTGGCAGCATAAATAAAGTCGAAAAGCTGTCTTATGGATACGCAGCTCCGGACGAAAATATGGAACAGCAACTCCCAACAGAACTCGGGGTGAATTGGCCCGCACTCGGTGCACATTTGTTAATAATCAATTATTTAGAGCTGTATGTTGAATAATATTGTCACATGGATAACAAAGATTTACGAAAACAAATTAACCGTGTATTAAATACTATGTAACATTGATATTTATGTGTGTATGTCATTTCATGGCATTTTAAAAAACAGGTTATACACCAGTGGTATTCGTGAATTCACTCATGTGATTCCTTTAAGTTTTCAGTGAAGCAGTAAACTGACTAATTATCTACTGCTTTAACGTAGACCTTTTTCCGTTTTTACTACCCTGACTGACCTCATCCTTCCGCTGGGACACGGGCCCCCGTGCCGAGAAAGGTCAAATTGACATCATCAAATCATTTATGATTACCTGCGGCAGAAAGGAGTCCTCTAGAAAAAACGGGAGGGAGAGAGGAGGAGAGGAGGGGGGGGGGGGGGGGGGGGGGGGGGGGGGGAGCTGAAGCGCCGATTCAATTAAACCGACCTGACGTCTGTCAATAAGTTTAACTATGAAAACTAAGCAACTGTCACTTTCTTAGTTAATTTAAGAAACCAACTCACAGTGGTAGGAGGGAAAAATGGATAAAATCGGTTGATATTTGAAACGGAGCCAAAGTTAACCATCGAGAGAGAGAAAGGACGACATTAGTGGCCTTGTGTTTTGATTATTGTGAAGTTAATCCGTTTGTTTTACTCAGAAAATGTATATTGTTTTAATACAAGAGTAACATTAGGTTTAAAGTCAACGTTGTAGGCATCTTAGCGTGTGCTCTGAGATAAGCAAAAAACATTTAAATTAATAACAGTTATATAATAGATACGCGGACTAGAATATAACATACCAAGGACCGCAGAGTGAATATGCAATTATACGTCACGTTAAGTTATTTCATAAAGCATGTATATTGTTCACAGACGACTTCTATCATAAAATTTCGATGACAGCGCGGTGCTCCACATTTAGTCAATGATATTATTTTGCTTCAGTTTAGGTGAGATAAATCTGACTGATTGCGTCCGTCCCTGATCCATACTTAGATGAGTGCTGGATCTGAGACAGAATGGTGATAATGTACACACATCACCTATATTCTAAAATTATGCAGCATTCTACATATATTTCGACACCTAAACAACCGTCTAGGCTTTCCTTAACCCGAATGAATTTTAAACATCGAATAAATCTTTTTTTAACACATGGTTGTCCGACATTCATGGTTCTACCTTTCACTGTGTTTGCACCCCCACTCAGTTGCTGCGGGCTAACTTGGAATTATTGTAGGCGTAACCCAGTTCTCTACATCAAATGACCATATTTAGAATCATACTGTAATACAACTGTGAACAGTTTAAACTGTCCTATAGGCCTGAGGTTTCGATGAATACGAAAAAAAATACAAAATGATATGTTTTTTATAAATCAGAAATAAAACACAAGACAAAAATCATGGCGCGAAATCATCACAGTCAACATAACGGTTCTGGAATACAATGTAATCACTCGGAACGTTAGAAAGCTCATCGGGTGTTTAATATATGCCACCACCCTTAGCCCTAATAAGAAAACGCTTTTATGTCCCCTTTCTCTTAATACAGTTTATATTCCGGCTTCAGTCGCTTTTTCTTCCCACATTCTGTAAAGCCCGGCGTGGGGAGCGCCGCCCCAGGCCAAACATATGCTTCTTTCCATTGCTCTAATCCAAATTCAGCGTTGAGGAATAATTGCTTCAGTGGCCATGACTTCGCGGGGGCTTTGTCCCTCACTTGGCTTCCAACATATAGACACACGCCATTTCAATCAGCTGCCTTTGAAAGCTGTCTCTCTCCCAGCTTAAAAAAAATCTAATCTAAGACACCGCAGACAATGTCAACGCACCACCAAAGTTCACAATTAAATCGCGATTCTTTTTTCCTACAGAAATTTCGCTGAAGAAAATTCTGAATTATTGAAGAAATCTGTCTTTTGGCCTTCATATCAATATCCACACATTTTAATCTTTGAGGATGATGTTGACATTTGGTGCCAATACTGATTTTATGGGAAATGTGTACCACAGTGCTTTAGTATTACCTTGGGTCGTCTGGTTTTTTTCGAAACGCCTTTTAATAACTAATTTGGTAGCATAGCCAGTGTATATTAAACATTCTTAAGTTGCTTTGCACTTTCATATCTTATGTTAAATATACACATTACTTCCATGTGCTGGAACGGTTATATATACCGTTAATAACCGATTAAATTAACTCTAAACATTAAATATTAACAGCTGCAGCCTAATAACCATTTTCTGGAAACCGACAATTCGATATGTTTTTTTTTCCATTCGTACGCAAATCTAAAAATGCTGAACAGAATGTCATATGAAAATAAAAACAAACCATGAAAAACCGTCTTAGGCGACTTTTAACTACAAATTCGCTATGGATTATCATTAGATAACGGTAATCGAAAAGTAATTCTCACCTTACAAAACATTAACTGAATACATACTAACATTTCTATTAGAAAAAAATAATTTCCCCATTACCACTACACGATTATGCTACTAACAGTGAAATTGCAGACGCCATTCATTTGCGTGGGAGTTCAAGTATTCTCAAATTAGGCAACGCGCAGGCCGTCACAGTGCGACGGAAACAAAGAAATAGTAAAACATAAGGTATAAAGTTAAAAACAAACGCCTATTTTAATCATATTGATGCAATTCAACTGTATAATAATGTGTGATGAAAAAAGCCTCCTATTTGGAAAATGTATACAGGTTTTATTACCGGGGAAACTTCAAATCAAATATTTTTCTTATCACCAAATAAAATGTTCTATATAGTAACAGAAACATTCAAACTGCTGCATCCTGCATCGAAAACTGACAAATTTCCAGTGGAGTTTACAATATTCTATTTTTATGTATTATTATATAATACATAAAAATAGAAAATATAATATATATTATCATATTATTAGATTATATTATGATGTGTCAACAACAACATCCAACTTAAAGGCAGCGCTGCCGGCGAAGGGCTCCGTCGGCGTCATTCAGGATATTCTAAGCAGGGAAATTGAGCTCTTTACCGCTTCGGGGTGTAGCACTGCTGATGTAGATCCAGCAACAATAACAGTGAATGATCAAAGAAAAACGACAAGCTTTTCAATAACACCGTTTGCTACAAATGACAGGAATTGTATTTACTTAAAGTATTGACAATTTGTTTATTATAAATATAAACCTATGTCTGTGATAAATAACATTACAAGTACACAAAAGTTCTTGGTAATGTAACAA